TCAACTACACGACTGACGGCGACTCGGCATGTAAACTACACCAACGATAAATCAACTAAATCGATAAGGCTTCCGAAACTAGTCTAAACATAACAAAAGTCTTTTTCTCTAGTAATTCTCTAGTAACTCCTCAAACATTACCTACCTCGTTGGCAGCATAAACGATACTTGGGCAGCGAAAAGACGAAAACTAGGTGCATTTCACTTCCAGTGAAAGCGAAAAATGGCGACTGCCCCAATCCTCGTACAGAGCGTGCACAACACCAAAAACTGCTGTGAGATAAATAAATGAGTGGAAGCACTAAAAGAATCAGGAACAAGTCTAAACAACAAAACTACAGTACCTATTAGTATGACCTGTAGTAAAATTCAGAAGAAGACGTCTTTCATGTGTACATAGCACGCCGACAAATGAATGAGGCTAAACAAAGTGCGGGAACGCAGCAAAGTTAAGGTTGCTCGGGCAACGGCAGCCACACGGACAACATTTAACAGCCAGGGGATGACGATGGATGAGGATCGGGTCCTGGGATTTGGTTCTTGGCGAGAAACCTGATTCGTGTCTTTAGCACAACTTGATTGCCCATAAATGTGGACCGACACCTACCTGAGGCGAGGGCAAGTAGGAAGACTATTTTCCACGTCAAAAATATGAGTGGTGCTGATTGGAGAGGCTCAAAGGGCGGTCTGCTTAGAGCAGACAACACAACTGATAAATCCCAGCTGGGCGGTTCCCTTGTACAGGGCCTCGGCCTCTGATAATGGAAAGCAGTAAATAGTTTCCTAATAATAGGACAATCAGCTAGTCTTATTCCCAAAGCGTTCTCAATGGTGGGGGACAAGGCCGACCTGTAGCCAACGATCGCTGCATAGGACAAACCCACTTCGTCAAACGAAGGAGTCTGCAACCTGGCCAATAGAGGGATGGTATGGATAAATCTCCCTTCCACTACACCAATCAGTGTATGCTCGCCACCCATCTAGAATTGTAGGCAGCGTTGGTAGAGTCCCTGTTTGCCCTGGCCAGAATGTTGGCAGCTCGCTCAGGTAAACCTCTCATCTGTGCGAGTCTACTGAGAGCTTTTATGCTTGTAAGTGGTACACCACTGGGCTCATTGGTAGTGCACCGACCGGTTGGGACAGCAGGTTCGATAAGTCCGGACGCACTACTGGTGTTTTGACTAGCATTTCCAACAGACCTTGGTTGGCCAATTGGGTGCGACCAATGACAATATGCAGGTGCGCATCTGTCAAAGTTTTCTCCGGTGCCCGGTGAACTAGCGGGGAAAAAAGGAAAGGCGTGCACATTTATGTAGGTCCACGGGATCAACACAGCGACCCTGGCCCAGGCTCCTTGAGTCGGCAGGAGTGTTATGTATGTCGGGAGCTTGGCGTTCCAGAGTGCGGCAAACAGGTCTATCTTTGGACCGTACCACAGCCGAAACAGCCTGAGGGTATCCACTGTGGTATCTGCCACTCAGTGTTTTGGAGACGGAGCCGCCTCGAAAGGGTGTCTGCAAGACTGTTTCTACCTCGAAGTGTGTGCAGTTAGAGGGAGGCATCTGTTACCAGAGTCATAGCTGCGCGAGTGGGTCCAAGGGGTTGAGTAACTAATTTGAAC